AAAAAAAAATCAAAGTAAAGAAATAAAAGAAAAGAAAACGTTCAAATTAAATCTAAAATTAACCAACTTCGATATTAATTAAATCAACAATCCCCGGCAACGGCGCCAAAAACTTAATGAACTAGAATCACCCAAATAAGTGTACTAGTCGCTCCAAGTAATATAATGATGAGAAGAGTGTCGAACCCACGAGAATTGTGTTTAACTAAGTACCAAAATAATTAATCCAAATTTATTTAAACAACCAAATGGGAACAAACTTTAATTAAAAATAATAAAAAGAAAATAACAAATAAACCTAACCAAGATAGGAGGCACTAAGGCATTGATTTCACCATAATCAATCAATATAAATTCTGAATTAATATACTTTCAAACCAATTTATTGAGTGTTATTGCATGTGATGGCGGATTTCCCTAAATTAATTAACTAGCTTTCTCAAGACAAGTTAATCCTTCACTAGTTTGTTAAATTAATCATATCTCTATGTAATTTTAAACAAACTAATGAACATTAAATTCTATGAAAACCTCTAGTTTAAGAAGGGGGAGCTCCTAACTCTCTTCTCTTCCTCCACTACCACATGTGAGCTAATTACCTCTCGGTCTCATAGTCTAGCACACGGTTTATATTATTATTGGTCTAATTCATGCAATTCTTTCTCAAGTTCATGCATAAATCACTAAATCAATTGAAAGGTGATCAGACTTCCAATGCATCAAGTTCAATAATATAAACTCCTCATGCAAATAACTTTAATTAAAAGCATAAAATCATGAAATCTATATTGAATTGATTAGGCTACATCGTAGCTCTAATAGAATAAACCAGTTCATAATAAAAATAATAAAATCTGAAATCACAATTATGAACATAAGAATGTCTAAGGAAAAACAAAACCTAATTTGAAGTAATTGAAATCTTCAATCTTCTCGTTGATGGATCTTTTATCTTGACCTCCAAGAGTGCTGCCACTAACCTCTCAAAACTCTCTTAATTCTGAATTTGGATGGGTATTTATAAGATTTTAGAAACCCTAATTAAAATAGAAGTAGAACTTGGAATAGAAATAGGAAACTGAATTTTGGATGCTGATCACGTGGTGCTGACACTTCGGATTACGTATTGACACAAAATAGGAAACAGAATCTAATTCTAGACGTTTAACGCATGGTATCGACACCCCGATCATGTGTCGACACTACACCCGTGTCGGGTTTCTGGTCTCCTTTCGCAATTTCTTCAATGGTAAAATAGCAAATTTAGTTCCTGACTTCTGGATTCTGCACAAGTTGATCCTCAAGTCTCTGATCTCTTCAATTTACTTCTAAAAAGTAGGATTTCTTCCAATTAAATCCTTTCCTACACAAAGAATGAAAACCATGTAAAAT